TCCCCTGCTGGGACTATACCCTGAGAACACCAAAACGCCAATACAAAAGAACCTATGCACCCCAATGTTCATAGCAGCCCAATTTACAATAGCCAAGTGTTGGAAGCAACCTAAATGCCCATCAGGAGATGATTGGATCAAAAAATCATGGTACATATGCACAATGGAATACTTTGCTTCAGAAAAAAAAAAGAGAACGATTAAACTTCATGGCAGCATGGATGGAACACGAGAGCATTATGCTAAGTGAAATAAGCCAGGGAGCGAAAGATAAATACCATATGATCTCACCTATAAGTGGAACCTAACCAACAATACAAAGATGCAAGGAAAATAAGACCAGCAACACTGAAAGGAAAAGAAACCAACAGAGACAAGAGGGAAGGAGGGGGGGGTGGGGAAAAGGTGGGGAAGGGGCAAGTCAAGGAACATATAGCAACGACTCATGGACAAAACCAAAAGGGAAGGATTGAGGGAGGGAAGGAAGGAGGGGGCAAGGGAAAGTGGTGGGGGGTAGGCAGAGACAAATTTATTTGAAAAAATAAATAAATAAACTTAAATAAATAAATAATAAAAGAAAGGTGTTTATCTAAAAAAGAAAATTAATGATTCATGTATTATGACATACTAACTAGATAATTGGGTATATACTGGAAGAAACTCTTCACAGGTGCCCTTGCAGACATGTAAAAGAATCTTTCTCACAGTTCGTTTTTCAAACTAGATTTTTTAAAAGGTTTGCATAACCCATAAATACAGTCAACAGTGTGGGAAGGGGAGCTTGTCAGGGACTGGGTAGAGGTAAGCAAAGGGGAGGGCAATTGAGGACATCTGTAATAGTGTCAAAATAGTGTCAACAATAAGAATAAAGTTAAAAAATAAAATAAAAATAAAAATGTTTAAAGCTTTGGGAAAATAAATAAATAAATAATGGGAAGACAAAGAAATATGCCCCACTCGAAAATAAGGAGGAATCCCCAGAAAGAGTACTCAATGAAATAAAGGCAAGTAAACTATCAGATACTGAGATCCAAACAACAGTTCTAAGGAAGCTCTATGAGCTCAGTGAGCTCAGAGAAAATTACCAAAAACTAAAGGGAAACTACGAGGAACTTACTGCAGACTATATCAGCATGAAAAAGGACAAAGAAACTATCCATAAGAGACAAGAGGAAATGATGAATACAATTTCTGAATTTAAGAACACAGTAGAAGGAATCAAAAGCATGCTAAATTAACCTGTCAAATCAGCGAGCTGGAGGACAAGGTAGAAAAACGTTCCCAGAAAGAGCATGAAAATGAAAAAAAGACTCAAAAAGAATGAAGAGGCATTGAGGGAAATGCAGAACAACCTGAAACCTAATAATATCCATATAATAGGGATACCAGAAGGAGAAGAGGATGAAGAAGAGATAGAGAATCTGTAGTGATGGAAAACTTCCCTAATCAGAGGAGAGAAAAAGTCACACAAGTCCTGGAAGCACAGATGGTCCCATTCAAGAGGAACCCAATGAGGCCCACTCCAAGACATATCATCATTAAAATGGCAAATATCAAAAACAAACAGAGAATCTGAAAGCAAGCAAGGGAGAAAGAGGTAGTAACATATAAGGGAGCCCCAATACGGCTAGCAGGTGACTTCTCAACAGAAACACTACAAGCCAGAAGGGAATGGCAAAAAATATTCCAAGTCATGAAAAGCAAAGGCCTGCAACCAAAACTGCTCTACCCAGCAAGGCTCTCAATGAAAATGGAAGGTGAGGAGTTTCCTACACAAAAGAAAGCTAAAAGAATACACCTCCTCCAAACCAGCACTGCAAAATATGCTAAAGGGACTGCTTGAAGATGAAGAAAAAGTTTCTATGAATACCCAGTTCCTTTCAGAGTTTCCAATACTTGATATTACCAATATTTTAATACTTATTAATCTGATTGTGACAATGATGTTATTTTAATTGTTCCTTTACTATTTGTTGAAACTAAACCTGTTTTTGTATATTTCTCGCTATTTTTATTATTTAAAAAAAAAAACTTTAAATGACTTTTTGGTAGTCTTTATCCATTTATTGATTAAAGGTTTGTAGAACTTTTTTCAAAAAAAAGAAAAACCTAGTAACCCTTTTTTAGATGTGTTGCAAATACTTTTCTATTCCTTGTCCTTTAACTTTTTTTATACGTATATTACTATATAGTTAAATGTTTAATATAGTCATATTAATATTTACTTTATAGCTTCTGGGTTTGAATATTTTACTTCAGTTCATGAAAAATATTAGTTCTGTTTTCTTCTAAAACTCCATAGATTCTACTTATTGATTTTTAACTCTTCTGAATATTTATTGTATAATGCATGAAATAGGGCTCTATATTTGTTTTATTTAAAGTATTAGTGGTCCATGCACTTTATTTGTTGAATAAGCCTTATTTTACCCATTGACTTGAAATATCACCTTAATCATATATTGTTAGACAGATTTATATGTTTGTCTCTAGAATGCTCATTATATTTTATTGATCTACTTGATTATTTCTGTACTGGTGTCACGTTGGTTTTATTGCTGAGACTTTATAGTGCTTTTAAATTTTTTTAATATTTGATAATTAACTTTGACATTTAAAAAAATAAAATCAATCTGAATTTAAGAAAGAAAGAGAGCTGGAACTCCTACTTTTTGTGACAACATGGATGGAACTGAAAATTATTAAGCTAAGTGAAATAAGCCAGTTGATTTAAGACAAGCACCATATGATCTCACGTATACGTGCACTCTATTCAACAAAATAAACTAATGAACAAAATAAACCACAGGCACAGAAACATGGAGCAGACTGAAAGTGATCAGAGGGGATGGGGAAAAAGGACAGTGGTGGAAAGAAGGGGAAGGGACTAGACAAAGAACATGTATGAATGACCCATGGACATGGACAATAGAGTGGGAATTGACTGTGGGAGTGGGGGGTGGGGGTGAGATGGGTGGAGAGGGGTAAAGGGGTAAAAGTTGAGACAACTGTAATAAAATAAACATGATTTATAAATTTAAAAAATAAATAAATAATTTATAAATAAATAAATATATAACTATTATGTTATCCGCCCCCCCCCCGCAAAAAAAATTGAGGATAGTGTAAGGAGTCCTTGGGACAACTTCAACTATGCCAACATTTGCATTATAGTGGTGTCAGAGGGAGAATAGAGAGAGCAAGAAATCAGAAACCTATTTGAAAACATAATGATGGAAAACTTCCCTAACTCAGTAAAGGAAATAGGCATACAAGTTTCAGAAATACAGAAAGTTCCATTAATATGAACCCAAAGAGGCCCACACCAAGACACATCATAATTAAAATGTCGAAGGCTAAAGACAGAGAGAATCTTAGAAACAGCAAAGGAAAAGCAGTTAGTTACCTACAAGGGAACTCCCATAAGACTGTCAGCTGATTTCTCAAAGAAAGTTTGCAGGCTAGAAGGGGCTGGCACAAAATATTAAAAGGAAAAGCAAAGACCTAAAACAAAGATTGCTCTACCCAGAAAAACTATCATTTGAAATTGAAGGACAGATAAAGAGCTTCCCAGAGGAAAAAAAGGTAAATGAGTTCATCACCACCACCAAACCAGTATTACAAGATGTTACAGGGTTTTCTTTAAGAAGAAAAAGAAAAAAATATTTAAAAATATGAATAATAAAATGGTATTAAAAAACATCTATCAACAGTTACTTTAAATGCAAACAGATTAAATTCTCAGATCAAAAGATATATGGTGACTGAATGGATAACAAAACAAGACCCTTACATATGCTATATGTGTATCAGGGATTCACATCAAATCAAAAGACACACACACTGAAAGTGAAAAGATGGAAAAAGATATTTCATGAAAATGGAAGCAAAACAAAACAAAACAAAAAAGACAGAGTAGTAATACTTATACTAAACAAAATACACCAATGGTTATAGCAAGAGAAAATAAGGACTCAGAAACTCCACTTCGGGTATTTATCTGAAGAAACCCAAAACACTAAATTGAAAAGACATATACATCTATATGTTTATCACAACATTATTTACAATAGTCAAGATATGAAAACAACCTAGGTGTCCATCAGTAGATGAATGCATAAAGAAGTGGTACACACACACACACACACACACACACACACACACACACACACACAACGGAAAATGATTTAGTCATAAAAGAAGAAATGTCTCGCACTTTGCAACAATGTGGATGGATCTAGAAGGTATTATACTAAATAAAATAGGTCAAACAGAGAAAAACAAATACCAAATGATTTCATTTATCTGTGGGATCTAAAATAAATAAATAAACAAACGGAACAGAAACGGATTCATAGATACAGAGAACATTTTGAAGAAGGCCAGATGGGAGAGGGATTGGGGAAATGAGTGAAGAGGGTAAAGGGATTTAAAAGTATGAATTGGTAGTACATAATATTCATGGGGATGTAAATTTAGTACAGCTTAGGGAACATTGTCAATATTGTAATAACTATGTATGGTGTCAGATGAGTTCTATATTTATTATTTGATAACTTCATAAATTATATAAATGTCTAATCACAGGATTCAACACCTGAAACTAAAATAATATTGTATATCAACTGCAATTTTTTTAAAAAAGGAAACAGAATCACCCCCATTTTCTTTCACTCTGGTAAGACCTCACTTCAGAATGAAAGCAACTCTTCCCAAAGGAGAATAATGAAGAACCTCAGGGAATATTTTTGCTTCAGACTAAGAGTAACAGATTTCTGGGTTCACTCCAGTGCTTCAACTAGAATTTCGAAGAAATGGCTGATGGCTAAAAAAATTTAGGGGTCTGAATCACTCTAAAGCTCTCCCATTCCAAGTGAAGAACACTCCCCAGATGGTGAAACTATCATTTGGCTTTCTCTGGAAGCCACAACACACCCATGCATACCCAAATGGGCAAGAATTGGGGTGCTGCCCATACCCAAATAAACCGAGGCACAAACCTGCATATGACTTTGAAGTAGCTTATCTATTCGAAATAGGTAGTTGTCATTGCTGACATTGTTGTAGTTTTCAATGAAGAATTTGAGGGTTGAATTCATATTTTTCTTGCTCATGGATTTCTCCTGGAAGCCTCCCCACCTTTGAAAGTCACCCAATTTGGCTGCCAGGACCAGGACAGCCAGCAGCAGTAGAGTGTTTCTCCAGCATTCAACTCTCATCTCTGCAGCCTCAAAAATGTCCTATCCCCTGCACCCTCCAGGGTACACAGGTGCCAGGCTCAGGCTCACTCACTGTTCCTAGACAGCCCTCGCCAGTGCAGACTCTCCTGGATACAGCTGCCTGCATTTAAACAGAGATTGAGACCTGAACCTCTCCCTTCCAAGGCCCTGCCTACAATTAACCACAGGACCCCCCAGGGAGATATCTCTGGGTGGCTGTCCAATCCTACTCTCAGGTCAGGTCATTTTCCACACCCATTCAATTCTTTGGTGATGGGACAGGCATAATTTCTAAACACTTGCCAAGATGGGCAAGAGCTCTCCCTGCCTTTATACCTAAAAAGGAAGAAAGCCCCCAGAAAAGACTTTTACACCACTATGCAATTGGACTTGCTGTATTGAACAGAGGAACACCATTTGTAGGAATGGGGAAAAGCTTATTAAGAACATGATATTTGAACTGGGATATAAAAATCAGGGGCATAGAACAGGATCAAGTACATTCTACTTGCTTAAGGGTTGCCAAGGAACCCTTAAGCAAGTAGAATGTACCTGATCTACTGATCTTTAGGTTCTAGCTATCTCACCCCACCATCAACTATCCTATGCTTGTCTAGAGGTTCTCTTTATTTACCTGCCACATACCACAGATTTCTGCCTGCTGGATCTCACTGTGCCTGCAGGCCCTGACACCAGCTCTAGCTATCTTGGTATGACCCCAGCAGAGCTTTGTGAGGTAAGTCCAACCTCCCTGTGAGGGAGGAATACACTGTGAGCCTTACTTATTCAGAAGTTAATCATGAAGTTTTTATGGTTACCAGATGGGAGGGGGATTGAGGAGATTGGTGAAAAGGGGGAAGGGATTAAATTGTATGAATTGCCAATTATAAAAACAGTCACAGGGATGTAAGTAAAGAATGGGGTATATAGTCAATAATATTGGAATAACTGTATATGGTATGAGATGAATACTAGACTTACTGGGGTGATTGCTTCATAAATTATATAAATGTCAAATAACTATGTTGTACACCTGAATCAAACATAATATTGTATATCAACTATAAATAAAATTTTTTGAAAGAAAAAGTGACTTGATGATGAAAGCAAAGTACAGACAACTGTTTAGCACATATACAGACCTTAGCCAAGATCTTGAGACCCACTTATCCCTGGACAGGTCTCCTTCTACCTCTCCATGTATCAAGTGATGTATATAAACAGAGCCTTGCATTGGTAACCCTAACTATCTGAAACCCTATCTCTCTCACTGGGACTACTTCCTTTTTAGAAGGGATAAGGTAACCTCAGAGGGCCTCCGGCTTTAAGTGTAAATGTTTTCTTCTGACCCCTTCCACTCCCCAGGGATCCCATGGAAAGTTGTGAGTGCATATGGGAGGACTGGATAAACTAAATGGAATAGGAGTGGGACAGAATCCTTAAGGACTTGGAAACAAAAGCAGGGACAAAGGGGTCATGGCAGGTTACTCCTGGCTTCATGCTGTTTCTTCAGGCCTGGGCTTAGGGCAGAGCTCTTGACAGATGGGGCATGTCCAGCCCCAGTAACAGGGGCAGCAGAAGAACTCCTAAGCTCCAGGGCTGCCATCTGGCTGCAGGTATAGAAAGGCTTCCAGCTGTCCAGGGTCCATGGCCATGGCACCAGTGGTGACTGCAGGCTATGGCCGCCCTGGTCACATTAATTACATAGGGGCCCAGGGTATCCACAAGGCAGTCATGAAGATGCCAACACTTAGAGCTGGAGATGCTCATGTCTCCCCATAGCACCACGCCAGCTGCCCCCAGTGCTGTGCCCACACCAGCGGTCTGCACAAGGTCATTCTGGGACAGGAACCTACCAGAGCTATGGTGTGTGAAGTAGGCATAGGACAGAACAGGTAGAGGCTGTGGGTGCCCAGCACAGGCCACTCGGAAGGCCTCCTCCAGGAGGTATCAAACAAGTGCCTGTCAGTGAGTGGGTGGCAGCCTGGGTGGGAGATAAATGTTAGAGAAGAAGGTGCTGGAGCAGCCCAGAACCAATGCAGTTGGGTGTTGCAGGCACAGGTGGCTGCATGGCAGTGGCCCATGTAATGGAAGCTGCACTGAGCCAACCATTGCTATAGGCCAGGAAGTGACAGAAGTCTCAGAGTTCATGAGGCTGCAGTGCTTCGCCCGACTGTAGTGTGCCCTCTATCAGCATACGGGCTGCTTCTTCAAAGCCAGTATGAGCCTTGTGGAGATGCTCCTGGGGGCCCAGGTGGGGGAATTCCCACTGTGTCCAAGCACATGGGGCTTTCTGATAGGTTCGTCAGCAGCCCCAGGTCCCAGTCCAAAGTGGACACCATTCTTTCCCAGTCTAGCACTGCCAGGCCATCAAAGCAAGGTCCCTGGCTGTGGTAGATCTGGTAAGCAGCCCATGCTGGGTGGTGGTCGAGGAGCATAGCCTGAAGGATGCCCCCATTGGGAGCTGTGCCCCTGGGCCCAAAGTAGGGAGAGAGGCCAAGCTGGTTTTTGTAAAGTAGTGATGTTCTGGCAATGGAAACACTGGGTACAGTTGACTGTGAAACCAAGGGCCTCTAGTGGCAGGTGCACACCAAAGCAGGCTCTTCAGTGTGCTGATGGTCTATTCCATAGCATGAAGAAGGGGCCTTCAGAAGCCCACAATAGGGGATGGCCACACCCCAGGCACAGGGCCACCCCTAGCACCAGGGCCATTCCTACCTGCATGGTCATGCCCCAGGAATGGAAACTTGCAATCACCTACCTCTGCAGAAGCAGCAGCCGCACCCCTCAACCAGGAGGGAGCAAGCCCAAGGTTCTGCTTCTAGTCCAGGAACCTTAGGTTTCCCTGTGGGGTTTAATGCCTTTGGTGTTGACCCAACCCACTCTAGGAAGGGTTCCTGGGTTCTCAGAAACAGGCAGCACTCGCCTTCCTGTGCCTCAGTTTCCCTCTCCCTCCTAGTGGGCCATAAACTGTGGGCTTTTGGGGGTGAGGGGTTTAGGGACATTGACTCTGGGTGCATATAGCTTGGCATGCTCTGGGAGGGAACCACAGACATAGGAAGAGGATGCAAGGTCACTTGACCTTATGCACAAACCAGATAGAAGCACAGGGAACAATGAGGACAGACATGTTACTCTTGGGGAGGAGGAGTACAGACATGTCGAAGCTGGGTTTCAGGATGCTTAGCATCCTGGCTCTACCTAAATAAAATTTTTTTAAAAAATGTTTAAATATGTGAAGTAAATCTTTATGGGTGTAAAGGGAGAGATTGACAGAAATACCATCATAGCAGGGGATTTTAATATACCATTGACATCAATAGATAAATCTTCCAGTCAGAAAATCAACAAGGAGACAACAATCTTAAATGACACACTAAATCAAATGGATTTAATTAATATCTACCAAGCATTTAGTCCCAAAGCAGCAGAATATACATACTTTTCAAGTGCCTATAGAATGTTCTCTAGGATAGACCACAGTTAAAACATAAAACAAATCTCAATAAATTTAAGAAGATAGAAATCATATCAAGCATCTTCCCTGACCACAATACTATGAAACTACAAATCAATCACAAGAAGAAAATTGAAAAATATACAAAGACATAACAGCTAAATAACATATTATTAACCCTGCAGAGGTTGCAGTCAAAAAAAATTACTGTGTAGGTTTCATGCATCTGAGAGATACATTCATTACTAGTATGTGCTGAAATGTGGAAAAAAATTTAAAACACTGCAAATTTGTATTTATTATATTTATGTAATAAATGATTTTTAAATTTATTTTCAGTCACAATCTAGGAAATTATTTAAAAAATATAAACACAAAAATTAAAAAGTTTTATTTTCAAATAATGGAAACATGGATATTGCTAAAAAATACAAGCAAAAAATCTTTAACATTAATCAGAATCTTCAATAGTTGGCTTAGCAAAATGTTTGTAACAATCATTGCAATCAATATTGCTATGCTCAAGACAGAAACACTTTTCACAACACTTGCAAAAGTATTTTGATGATGATATCTCTCAGATACAATTTACAATCAAATACCACACACCCTTACAAAACATGTGTTATAACCAAACTGACAACTTAAACATAATGGCCTAACATTAGTCATGTACAAATAGGCAGGCAGTCATGATCTTGAACCTATGCACTTGATATATGTAACAATATTTTTAAAAAGAGTTTGTTTATATCTCTCAGATCAGCTGTGACCTCTGCAGGGTTAAACAATGAATGAGTCAACAAGAGATCAAGGAAGAAATCAAAATATACCTTGGAACAAATGAAAATAAGAACATCCCAAAATCTGTGGAACACAAGGAAAGCAATCCTAAGAGAGAGATAGCGTTACAGGCCTACCTCAAGAAACAAGAAAGGAACAAAAAAACAATCTAACTTTACACTTAAAGAAACTTGAAAAGGAACAACAAACAAAGCCCAAAGTGAATAGAAGGAAGGAAATAATAAAGATCAGAGTAGAAATAAATGAAGTAGAGTCTACAAAAAATGATACAGAAGATCAATGAATCCAAGAGCTGGTTCTTTGAAAAGATAAACAGAACTGAAAAACTGTTAACCATACTCATTAAGAAAAAAAGAGAGAGGACCCGAATAAATAAAAATCATAAATGAAAGGAGATAAATAACAAATGACCCCCCAAAATACAAAGAATTGGAAGAAAATATTATGTAAATATATATCCCAGAGAATTAGACAACCTAGGTGAAATGGATAAATTCCTAGAAACATACAATCTTCCAAAGTTAAATCAGGACGGTCTTGGGTGGGACAGGGGAAAGTAGTGGTGGGAAAATGGAGGCAACTGTACTTGAGCAACAATAAAAAATATGAAAAAAAATCAGGAAGGTCAGAGAATCTGAGTAGACAGATTACACCTAGTGAAATTGGATCAGTAATCAAAAAAGTCTCTACAAACAAAATCCCTGGTCCAGATGGCTTCACAAGTGAGTTTTAACAAACA